GTGTATATTTATTATGTATATATAAATACACACACATGCATGTATATATTTAAGAAAAATATGTTATGTTTATATTTTTAATATATTTATATATAATATAAATGATATGAATATAAATATATACATGTAAATATTTTCTAATTATATACTGTATGTGTGCGTATTTATATAAACATAATAAATGTACATAGTACACACATATATTATGTAAATAACAACTTTTATTTTGGATGCGATTAATCGTTTGACAGCACTAATTTAATTATATCATATGTTGATGTGGGTGGGTGATATGACCAAAATCTCGTATCACAATATGAGTAATTTTATTTCACAATAATGATTTATATCACAATACAGTTATTTTTGCAGGAAATATGTTTTTTTTTTTTTTTTTTACTGACACCAATTTTGATATCACAGCAAAAATTAATACTAGCCATAAATAATCTAAGTAAAAAGTTTTCAAGCTTACTGAATGCGAGTAAACAAGTCTGTAACAAGCAACAGAACAAATGCATGCAATAGAACAAAGATTCAAATGAAATAAACTGTGCCCTCCAAGCCATTTGATTGAATTCTACTCTGCGTGCCAATGTTCATACTATCCATCCTACATAGTATATAAGATTAGAATGAGTGTGTCCCAGAGCATGGCATGTTGAAAAGAGTATGCCATTGGAAAGAGAAATTTAAGCCTTTGTGAATGTTCATAGTTCTTCTAATAGCTTTAAAGCTTGAAAGTATGTGTAATGTTTTTAAATAAATCTATTTCACCCTTTTGGACCACTTGTCAAGCACATTTATAAGATTTAAAATAAAGATATGACTCTTAACTGCATCATTCTTATAAAAATAGAAAAATAACCTATTTATCTAATAATCTATTTTCAGAAATGTTATCCCACTTAGCATTTCAAATATAGTGGATTTCATCAACATCACTCCAAAATAATTGAACATAAATGAAGTGTATGATTTTAATGTATATTTCACTAACTTTGTTGTTGACACAGTATTTTTTTATTATAGGTCCATGTCACTTTCCAGTTAATATTCTCAAAATGGTTACTCCAATAGGGTTTACTATGAAAAAAATAAAGGACAATGAATCAAAAGTCTAAAAACCTATTTTTGCATTATTGCTATCTTTTATACGAACACCACTGAGACTTTTTATTAGCATAGCACTCTTTCTATTGTGAGACCAGCTTAACAAAGTGTGTTTTTTAACCATATGTATTTTTTAACAAATCAAAAAAAACACAAGTCTGTAACAAGCAACAGAACAAATGCATGCAATAGAACAAAGATTCAAATGAAATAAACTGTGCCCTCCAAGCCATTTGATTGAATTCTACTCTGCGTGCCAATGTTCATACTATCCATCCTACATAGTATATAAGATTAGAATGAGTGTGTCCCAGAGCATGGCATGTTGAAAAGAGTATGCCATTGGAAAGAGAAATTTAAGCCTTTGTGAATGTTCATAGTTCTTCTAATAGCTTTAAAGCTTGAAAGTATGTGTAATGTTTTTAAATAAATCTATTTCACCCTTTTGGACCACTTGTCAAGCACATTTATAAGATTTAAAATAAAGATATGACTCTTAACTGCATCATTCTTATAAAAATAGAAAAATAACCTATTTATCTAATAATCTATTTTCAGAAATGTTATCCCACTTAGCATTTCAAATATAGTGGATTTCATCAACATCACTCCAAAATAATTGAACATAAATGAAGTGTATGATTTTAATGTATATTTCACTAACTTTGTTGTTGACACAGTATTTTTTTATTATAGGTCCATGTCACTTTCCAGTTAATATTCTCAAAATGGTTACTCCAATAGGGTTTACTATGAAAAAAATAAAGGACAATGAATCAAAAGTCTAAAAACCTATTTTTGCATTATTGCTATCTTTTATACGAACACCACTGAGACTTTTTATTAGCATAGCACTCTTTTCTATTGTGAGACCAGCTTAACAAAGTGTGTTTTTTAACCATATGTATTTTTTAACAAATCAAAAAAAACAAAGGGAAAAGTCCTATTTCTGCATACTGGCATTATGTGGTTGGTGTACAAGTTCTCAAATTGATGGAAGTCAAACAACATAATGTTTGCACCTGCAGGGTCCAGATAATTTAAAATGTATTTTTATACTACAAAAAAAAGTCTTAGATGTAAGATATTCCAGTATTATTAGCTCCATTATTGATTTTGCCAGCCCTTCACAGGTTGGCAAAAAAAAAAAAGTAGTAGTATTGATAATTCACTGGTTTTATTTGAATATAATATATTTATTTTTCCAATTTTGAACAGTTGAAACCCATGAACCCAAGACACCCATGAACATTGAGAGGAGGTGTAAAATATGAACTAGCAGAAGCTCAATAAATGGCTAATCTGATTTTTTCAGTTACAATTCAGTTGCCATATGTATGTGTATAGTATAGAATATATATATAGTAAAGAAACACATTTGAGCAAATAATTGAGTATGTAACATTCAAGTGTTAATCAATGTGGAATATCTCAGAAAGAAGAAGGGAAGGAAGCTGGCGATTATAGATTGATCAGAATGTCAGCGATAAAAGAGAAGCACAGCTGCCTCGGTTATCTCTTTGGAAGCACTCCATCCTATATTAGTACCATAGCCATCCCAATCAAAGCTCGTAAAGTCCCCACACTGTCTAGGGACGGCCTCAGGAAAGTGTCCACCTCCACCAATACAGAACTGCAACAATATGAGTACATTACAAACAACGAAACACACCTACAGACACTTTATTTCCATTGTAAATGTATTACTATCAATGCATTATGTGGTGATTAACAGCATGTCACAAATGCTGTCCATAGACATCGATTTAAATCCAGAATATTTTGTTAACTCACATGTTCAGTGTGACAGCCGGTTGGTTTGACACCTGAACAAAGAGCCATGGCTGCCCTTTCATAATTAAAGACTCTGAATGCGATGAATCCAGGCGTAGATATTTCTGGTAAAAATGCAGAAAATATATAACATACAGTATGAAATGGCTTTCATTCATTAAACTGATTGAATCTCAACAAAGATGCCTTGTAAAATGCACACCATCACTGAATAAAGCACAGATGTAGCTACTTTCTTTAAAAAATTTGAAAAATACTGGCTCAAGAGAATTTGACATACGTCTTGAACTGGGACCATACAAATTTTTGTTGTAATCCACATTTCCGGTATCATACACTATTGGAATAGCAGGTCCATTATCAGTGATGCATGCCCCTAATCCAAACCTCACAGGGAATTTCTAGGAAAATGGAGATGAAAAAAAATTCAGTATTTTTGTAATTTCACAAAATTGTAATCTTTTACTATATTTTTGTGAGTGTTTCAAACTCTATAAACTAGTATCCAAGTTCATCTTACCTTGAATAAATAGAAAAGGTTTCCTCCGTAGAGGTTTAAGAAGTGATTTTCAGTGTGGTATCGCAGGATGGAGGTAGCGGACCACTGTTCCAAATCAATATTATTAGGAACATGCCACACAGACACATCTTGTGCCGCAATGTCATAGTATCCAGGGTTCTGTGACATAAAGGAAACAGACTGTCATTTCAAATTCTACATGAACATCTTTTCATTGTCTGTCTAGTGTCTCAGTGTCCTTTATGTTGCTCCTATTTAACTAGGGTTGTAAAACCATAAATGTAATAAAAATACCTTATAATCATCACTTGTAGAGGACTCTGCTGTTCCGAATGTGACTGTGTTCTCCCATGTCCCCTCACCATCAGGCCGGTTTGGGTCACTGCCCTGCTGATTAGACCAGCGATCACCAAGAGTACACTTTCCGTACATGTTGTTTTCATGAACACTGGCAACCAGCGTCCAGCCGCCACTAGCAGTGGTCATATCACAGAACGTCTGGTAAAGGACTCCTCTTGATGAGTTCAGATAATATAGACCATCTGCATGAACAGAAGCATTCCTGAGTCGCTTAAACGCAGT